CTGTGAGTCAGAGTCTTGTCACTGGCAATGGGTTTGGCTTCGGGGTTTTAATCAAAACACAGATGCCATCTCTCTCTGTGCGATTACATCAGGGTCTGGGGAACCTTGCTGTGCAGCCCAGGTTGGGGGCCACAGGGCAGGACCCTCAAACTCAAGGGGAGGCCTGCATGCAAGCAAAGCTCACGGCTGCTGGCAGCAGGGCCTTTCTGTGATTCATACAATCCAGCCCAGTTTGGGTCATAAATAAAGGTTTCTGCAAAGCTGTCTTTTACTGGGGTGGGGGGGGAGGGTAGGTGTTGGTCATTCAGGCGGAGAATCCTTGCCTCATATGCAGGACACGCGGGTTCAATGGCTACCCAATGCACCTCACGCACAGACACCACCTGCCTGTGTGTGGAGGGTTGCACGTTACTGTGATCCTGAATGGGTTTCAGCAGACCTTCCAGACTGAGAAAGACCAGGAAGAAAGTCCTGGTGATAGTGACTTCTGAAAACCAGCCACTGAAAATCTCACAGACTCCAAGGCTCACCCCACGGGGTCCCCACAAGCTGGGGCCAACTTGACAACAACAAAGCAGAGGTCAGACCCTCCCAGGGGTCCCCAAAACCCTTCTTGGGGTTCCGTGACAGCCTGTCCTTCCCAATCACACAAGCGTGAGGACGCAGATGTTTTTCATTCGCATCCAGAACAAGAAATCCTAGGAGACAGGCTCAGCGCGGAGACACCGCCCGTCTTCCCATCGGCCGGTGATGCCCGAGGTCTTCAAAGACGGAAAACAAGGCAGCCCTTCTCCCCACCTTTGTTTGTGTCACGTAATAGTTATTATTATTATTATTATTAATTAGGAAAAAGTACTGTTTTTAGTAACATGTAATTAGTTTGCTCTCATTACATTCGGTCTCCCTGGGTTATGCAGACAGTTAACATCCTTGGCTGCTACTCAACAGGTTGGAGTTTTGAGGATACCCACAGGCGCCTTGCAGAAAAGGGCTGGCAATGAACTTGTAAAAAAAAACAGCCACTGAAAACCCTATGAGCACATTTCTACCCTGACACTGTTATGGACTGAATTCTGTCCCCCAAAACATGTTGTTGTTGTTGTTATGTGCCGTCGAGTCGGACCCGACTCACAGCAACCCCTCCTTGGGTTTCCAAGGCAGTATCAC